AGAAAGTTCTTGCATTATCGTTTAGGTCACTACTGCTGTTTTTTCATATTATACCTTTCCACTTTACGGTATCTGATGAAATATGCGCATCGAAATTGTTCGTAGTAGTTGTGGATTCCGTATCAGGCACTCGCACAAAACACTTTTTACTTCATCCAGCAGAGATTCACATTTTCCTTTCGTTAAGCGCCTGGACCTGTGGAAAAGCCAGTACATTCGCCGGTTGTAACTTCAGTCAGAGCGTTGCCCCTCTTCCGCTGAGATATTTTCATTTCCAATCGACGCTGAGTTCTACCAGGATATCAGCACATGAGCGCCGGTCCTAGAATCAACCCTGAGCAGAATTGAATCCAACTGCAAAAGTTCAGAATTCCAGAACCCTCGCTCTTCGTTGACAAGACCAAACTGCATCAGTTAGGCTTCTTGCCACCGGATCATCCACCTACAGCTCTTACCTTCTGAGATGGAAAATGTCCCATCCCCCGGCTCTAAGGACTCTCATTAGCATTACGGTGTAAACTTTTCTGATGTGCCATAATGGTGTCGCGGTGGCTACCTCTTCTTTCAGAACGGGTAATGACTCCCTGTAGATTTTTAGCAGCAACTGCCGTATTTCAACGCGCTTCAGTTGACAGAAGAGGTGGAGTAGTTTCTTATCGCCAATTTTTCACCTGTACATCTAAGTTCTTCAAAGGCCTGCATTGTCCATTTTGAAGCCGGGTAGCGACTCAGCCGATATATGGTCCGACATTGACATTACTATGAAGGTAATATGAAAAGGTTCGATAGGAAACTTTGCAAAGATCCGCAACCTTCTTCCCTTCTCATCCTTGCTTGAGCAATTTACCTGTTCAGTTTCATTCATTTAGGTACAATTAAGCAAATAATTATAAAATTCCGTATATTGTTTTACCTACTTATCAAACAGTCAGTCCAGATGCGGCTTTAGAAAGAGTATTGCGCCTACGGTTACACCGTAAGTATTATAATGAGGTTGATCTAGAACTGTTTTCGGAAGGCTTGTAAACGTAAAAAAGGTACACCATTTACTCCTACTTTTTTATACGCATTGATGCTAGAAAATGTAGTGGTGTGTATTTCTGGGGCAAATCAAAATTTCGGGGTATACTTAGAGTACATGCAAGTATTCAGTATAAACCTCTGAAAAGTTTATATTTTTACTGTGGCTTAAATTTTGTTTGTTAAATTATATGATTATGTGTTAATTTGTGATACATTTTAGTACATATGGTTGGTATATTTGCTCAAGCTCACGACCTTAGACGTTGAAGGTAAGCCATGGTGATCTTCATTAACCACGATGAAGGATTAGTTAATTGCTGCTATTTGTATATATGCTGCACTTGTTAAACGCCTACGTTAACGGTTCCAAGTACATCGAAGTGCTAGGGAGCGCAATCTAAAGGCCATAAAACCTGTTTGGGTGGAATTACATGTTAGTGTGTATATTTGTAACATGACTGTACATTGTTACATGCTATACATGTTGTATTAAATAGTATTAAATAGCAAGACCAAAGCTAGTTAAATTTTATTTATCGTTGAACACTGGCCAGTTAATGGCCTTCATAAGGGGGCTATTCATGCTTTTTGCGTATTTTTCTAGTTTAAACTTTTAAGAACGTAAAAGCTGGTAAAGTTTGGTTTTAAACATTTTACGGTTAAAACTCGATGATATTTTTTCCCTTGTTCCTTTTGTATTCTCATGCGATTCTGTTTATTATCTATTTTGTGAACTACTCCGGACCATTGTAACTAAAACAGCAGAGATTGAAATCTAAGCTCTCGCTGCTCAAGTCGACATTTATCCCAATGGTTACCAACGGTTGAACCATCACTGAAAAACTTCGAACCCGGGTACAAGCTGCTGAAATGGGCTTTCTGAGGCGAGTCGCTGGCCTTACGCGTCTCGACATGGTCCGGAATATTGATATCCGAGAGAGCCTTTGTGTACGGCCTTTGCTTCTCCAGATTTAGAAGTCCTGCGTTGGTTTGGACACGTGTTGCGAATGCCTCCAGAAAGGAAGGCTAAACAACTGTTCCTTGCAAATCCGACAGGCAGAAGGTCCAGGGTACGGCTAAGAATAATTCGGTGCAAATGTATGGAAGGAGTGTGTTCCATACTCCAGTTGTCTTCTACCGAAGCTGAGATTCTGGCACAGGATCAGGATGGTTGGAAGCACTGTCTGGCGTGTCTGTTTCCGCGACCCAAAGGAAAAGCGACTATGAAAGATGAAGGTGATCTATTTTATTGCTGCTGTACTTGCTGTGTTTTTAGTTTGCTGTTAAGTCAGGTCTAAGTAGACAACAGAGAGTGGTGTCTTACTGTGGCGCAGTACGTAAGAAGTCACATTTGAACTCTAACTCCGGAGGTCTGGGTTTGACGGGTTGTCTTCATCTTTACCCCGATTTCTTTTTAGCAAAGAATTTGCCACATATTTTTCAGCCTGTGGCTAATCGATCGATGGAACATTGGAGGTTAGAATCGGCAAGTTCCATCGGGGTCACTCGCCTTTCTTCCTTTCGAGGTTGGTAAAAAAGTTTAAAGGAAACAAGGGAAACAGACTGTGCTTGTCATATAGCTGATGTCGATTCAGCCTTTATAAACAAAAGATACTCATTGCTGATGACATGAAAATGGAAATTAGAGCACCCACCTTTAACTTCATAAAAGCCTTATGACTCAAAAAGCACATAAGGTATTGAGGACTTACTCTGTTCACTGACTTCTGGTATGAGCATGTAAAATTTGTAGTGAATCGCTGTTGTCAGGCAGCATTTTGTATTAGAAAGAATTAATGAGCTTACATGCACCAAAACATTCCGTAGCATAATTTGTCACCGACTGTCAACTGCATTTTACCTTCGTATATCAATGGCGCTGCCATTGTTTTCCCTGGACTTTCTTCGTCCGACCTTATGATGCTTCGCAGGTCTTTAAAAAGGGTTTCTAATTTAATGACCTGGCAACTAAACTGACAGAGTCTGCAGTGATGCACAGTGTCAGGATGGAAAGAAACATCGTCAGCAACACTACATTCTCTACATTTCCGTTTTTCTGAATGTCTGCACTGAAATTGCTCTACATGCTTTACGTATGTGATAATTTCGGCGAGCACAGAGCGATATAGCGATTATTACATCGTTGACTCGATATCCTTAAGCTGGCAATAAAAACTACTTGAACAAGCTCAGCCTATCATAGTTTGTGTTCTTATAGTTTTATACATGTTATACCACTATTATCTTTCATATCTCTGAGAATTTTTGTTGATTCTGTGATATTCCATTTTAATGTTGAGTTTGCCCAATCTGGTTCTGTAACTTTGTTTTGATATGTTGAAAAATGCGATTCATTGGTGATCCTATTCTATTACTAGAAAGCTTCAACTTTAAAACATCTGTGCTACAATTGGCTCGTCATTTAGTTGACACCGAGATTTCAGTGGTTACAAACTTTCTTTTTCTATTTTTCAACGGTAACTCTAACTTTAAACATATGTGAACGTGATAGGTGTCACAGAATCAAACGTAAAAGCATAAAAAATGTATATATACACACAAACATGCGTCACATAGATGAACACATGCATACAATTGTACGTACATGTAGAAAAATATCCTCTTGCGTACAGATATATACATATACAATTCTGGATGCATAAAAGAAGGGTTATTTCTGTCCAAGTGCAATGGCTGTCGGGTACTCGGTGCAATGGAATGAGAAAAGGAAAATGCGTTATTTGTATCGTGCAGAAATTAGAGTGTGCTGTATAAGATATATAATATTTTTGGCGTTGGATAATGGTAGTTTTTACACAATTTTTGCAGATGTGCAGGATATATCATTTGAAAGATTATTGGTAACATTTATCTGATTTGTTCATGCATTGGTAGCCATATTGAAAGAAGAGGCACAAAGGCGGCTTATTTATATAGAATGACATACAGGTATTTTGTCAGTCCACACGAATCAGTGGCTACAGGCAGTCATGTAGCTGCCACCAAATCACTGCCAACCTTAACGTGAGGAAGACTTAAGATCCAGGCGGAAATGTGAAAATTATTGTTTCCTCCCATTGCAGATATGTATGGATAAATCGTTTTGTGCTGTTTTTCTGTTTATTTATATATTATGCATACTCCACCTTACGTGACATTGTTTAAATGTCATTATGGGTTTGACCTTATGTACAATGTAAGAATTATACAGCTGTAAGGATCGTGGAACCTTAGTTAATCTAAATTCTTGGAATTGTCAGCCACTCTGTTATATTGCAAAATGGTTACTTTTTTTGATTTTGTGTGTGCCAACTGTTTTCTTTTCTCCTTGGGGGGACGGGGGGTGGCAAATTGTAGTCAAGCTTGATATCAGAATGGACTTATGATTGTTACGAATACCATTCGGAACATGAAGAAATTTCAAGCTTTAACATGAAGCATGCTGATTTTGTTTAAGTCCTGATACATCCAATTGGTCGAGAAGTTCAGTCCAAACGTTCATGGCACTTATGTCAAGTTTCTGGGTAAAGTGGAAATCGTTTTAAAATTATATTGATCATATATTAACCTATTCATAAAGTAAAGTATAACTTATTTTGTTTATTTAGATGAGTGACAGTAAAGTTGCTGAAGTTGTGTTAGATATGAACGACACCCAGGAATCAGAACCAAAGACCGTGGAGGAATTCACTTTTCTGCCTAGTGAAAAGACGTC